TCGGCTGCCTTCATTTTGAAGCATTGTAGTCATTTAATTGTTTGGTCAGATCATAAAAGTAAAGGCTTTGTGAATGATATATAATTAACTAATATTAATTATTAATCCATAGTCAACCTCTCCACCTCTCCATTTAGGATTTTCTTGGGAACAAGTTTGAGGAAAGGTTTGCCTACCTATGATGCCATTATTGGTTGACATTTTCACATAATGAATTAAGATAATATATATATTAAGTGTCACGAACGAAATGCACCCTTGTATATGCATATAAAACGTATAATCTCTTACCTGTGCGTTCTTAATAATTCTTAATATTCAATTTTTAAGCAAATAAGGATCTGAATATTGAAAAGATTAAAGTATTCATCTATAACGAAATAAAAAAAGGGTAAAAAAAATAATTAAATGTGAAATGACTAAAGTGCTCCTTTTTATTTTTTACTTTTATTTTTTCTTCTTCTTATATATAAGGGCATTATTGGAAGAGAAAATGGTATTTTTAGAATTTTATATCTTAAAAATGTTATCTGTAACCAAACAAAGACCTCAAGTCCTTCTTTAATATTTTTTCAAACTTAACATTTAAAAAAAAAAAAAAAAAATTAGGGGTAATATTTGCTCAAAATTTAAACAATATGGGTGTTTTTTTCATTTTACCCAATATCTAATAAAGCTAGGGCTAGTGTATTCTCATTGATCTAGCATCCGACTCGAAAGATTGAGAGTTTGAACTTCATTAGTGGCAATGTTGTGGTGTGTATTTTTGCTTGAACTTTTAAAAAAATAAAAAATAAATTAAAGGAATATTTTTCTTGAAGCAATATATTTTCTTTTCCTAATAATAAAAAATATTACAAAATAATATACACATAATATATATATATATATATATAGAAGAAATCCAGACATGCCAACAGATTAAAATGTGCAGACGCCACCATTAAGAAAACCAAAATCACTCGCAGTAAACATAAGGCAAAAAGAAAAACTCATAAATGGATGTGAAGAAGCAATATTAAAAAAAATAATTCAAAATAATAGAATCGAAATCCCAGTCAATTTATTAATTGAAAGGCTGGCTGTTAATAATATGAATTTACTTATTTACCCAAAAAAAAAATATGAATATACTTCTAATTGAATGAGTATATACAGACATTGGCCGTTAATAATATGAATTTACTTATTTACCCAAAAAAAAAATATGAATATACTTCTAATTGAATGAGTATATACAGACATACAGCTGATATATATATATATATATATATATATATATATATATATATCTACTGTCTGTCAATATTCTTATGTAGAGTTTAGACACATTTTTAATGATTAACAAATCACAAACGGATAAGGTATAGTCTCCTTGGATGCCACCAGCTTCCGAGAAGATCGAAGAGTATCCACCCTGTCTCATGGCTAATGAGTTGATTTTTGTCTCGATGTTTGCAAACACACCCACACACACACATATATTGTCACACAAGTTAAATAAAATCTAAAATTTTAATTCTACTCTCTGAACATCTAAGTCTCATTGCCATCTCCTAAAACCAACATTTATTAGTTTGATTGGATCTCTTTATTTACTTGTTTTGAAAAAAAAAAAAGAATTGGTTAAATTTTCTTAACTATTATTTTTTTAAAATTTTATAAATTTTAATTTCATGCAGCCGAACATTCTTGATAACTGCATGCAAGTAAACAAATTTGGCATGAACGTTGGAATGAATTATTATACAACGTAAGACACTAATTACTCTCACATAGCAGTCTTGAGTATATCACAGGTGACTAGTTTAAAAAGATTAAAATTTTAACTAGATGTCACTTGACCAACCAATGAAACTTTGAGAATTTACTGAATCTAGATTTTTTTTTTGTTTATATAGCACGAACTAAATATATTTAATATATTTTAATGTTTCTCAATATTGATGACACATTATTAACTGTTTAAATATTGACATATAATAATAGAATTCACTCAACAAGAATCAGGACCGCCTTACATCGTTTACGTAACATAATACAATACATCGATTATGCAACATAAAAGGTAAAACTGCTTACACATAAGCGATCTAAGAAAGTTGTTGAATAAGCGATGTTAAATTATTACGATGATACAAGATATCCTATGTCAGGGGAGGATCTAATTAGTTAATGTCACTAATGACATGCTACTTACATTGAACTCTTGTACGAAGGCAAATTGGGGTAATTGCTCCCAATGAAATTTTCTATTATTTGTATTTTATATATACACAAATTGTCATAATTTCAAAAGTTCCCCCACAAAACTCTTAAAAATTCACAAAAGATCTTGAGAAAAAAAAAAAAAAAAATCAAAATTCAATAAGACTCCTCATTTTTTCTAACTTATTTTTCCAACAAGATTTTAAAAATCCAAAAACAACAAATGTTTTTTCTCTTCTAATGAATCCCACAAAATTTTAAAAAAAGACACCTCCTTATTATTGATAAGGATCTCTCTAAACTAAATTTCTAACTCGACAAATAGGCACTGTTGTCCTTTGTTTTTGGCTGGTATATCCAATGAATACCAATCACCAACAAAAAACAAAGTAACAGTAGATAGATTGTCGACTTCAGAGAACAATCCAGAGCACCCATGTCCGTACAGCTCAACTCTACACAGCATGCTTTGTTACATGGGGTCCTACCCGCAGCATGGTTGAAGGAGCATATGTGGGACTAAGCACATGACTGTTTCATAACTTGCCATAAGGTGCAGAAGTCAATTATTCTTTAATTTTGGTTTGGGCAACACCTTGCTCCCTTGTAAATTGTTTTTTTTTTTTTTTTTTAAATAAAATTTTTTACATATTTTTTATTTTTATTTTTTTATTTTTTGGTATTTGATTACGGTACATAAAATATTCTCTACATCAATTTATGTGCACAATTAACTTTGATTTTTTTTTTCGTCAATAGGGTATATTACCCACAATTAACGATCTCTCTCTCTCTCTTCAATGTTCCTCACTACCCCCTAAACCATCCCCTTCTCTCCTTGTTACTTTTATCTCTCTATGCTAAACCATCCCATCCTCTCCTTCTCGTTACTTTATCTCCCCACTCTTTCTCTATATCAGAACATGCACTCGACCCAAATTTGTTTATCGACTAATTCAAATTTGTGTCTTTCTTTCTCTCTACTCTCACTCTATGTATATGTATAGAGAGAGAGAACCAAACATTAAAATTGTAGATTAGGAGGACTAAAAGAGATTAGTTTGTTAAAGGAACATAGGGATTGAATAAGAATAGGATGATTGGATGACTCAAGGTAGCCTACAAAAAATAACTTATAGAAACTTTTTTGGTAAATCACTTTCAGTCATTTGGCGTAAAATTAATGATTTACATGAAAAATAATTTCCTAATCTTGGAGTCTCTCAAACATCGAAAAATGAGAAAAATAATTTCTCAAAAATATTTTACTATGAAACAAACGGAGCCTTTAGTAGGGCATCACCTTCCCCTTCCGAAAAGTTATCACATGCCCGTGGTATCATGATTCTGAGCCAATCACTATGGCACAAGTAAGCTATTATGTAAAAAAATAAGAGAGTTTTTTTCAGTTTTTTTTGCTCTAATGATGGTTGACGAGGACAATTGATCTAGAGACCATTAGTCCTGGCCAATCATGCACCTTGGACACGTAAGTAAGTAAAAAAAGATTATATGCATTTTCAACAGAATTATTTGTGTCTTCAGTAGTAATTGACCCGAATCAATGGTCCGGACCATATAATAATTTCTCCTCCATTTGCATGAGAAGTTAAACAAAATGATGATGACGGCAGACCTGCAGGAGGCATAATACCCATAAAAGCAAGTACATGGCATATAACCCCACAAGAGCATGGGAAGCTCCCTATGCATGATTCCTCTTTTGCCCGCAAGAGGAACCTAAAGTTTTGGAATTGCCCATAATGTGCAAGTTCATTGCACTTCTTCATCATTGCTATAAAAAGTATTCATGATTCAAGCATGTACATTCTTAATTGGATTGGGAATCCTATCCTTACAAGAATAACTCCAGCGGTATGTGTACCTACTTTCTTTACCGCCATTAAATTAATTAGGTTTGAAGAGGTTCAGCTAACATAATTTCACACCGTGCTTCTTTCCGAGTGCATTCTCAAAGACTTAAGAGGGGTAAATATATATTTTATAGTAAAAATTATATCTCCGACAAAAAAAAATATAGTTAATTTGACTATAGAATAAGTCTAGCTATAGCGCAATTATATCCGCAGTAATTATGGTCTTTCATAAGAAATGTTAGTGTAATTTATCCTATTATATATGATTTCATCCCGAGTGGTATGATCACTCACAATATGTCTCTAACAAAGTTTGAATTCTCTTTTTTTTTTTTTTTTTTGGAGAATGAGAAATCATACCGTTAGGACAAGAGATGCTGTAATTTTACTCAGTTAAGTTGCATAATACGAAAATAGCACGAGAAAACTCATGATGAAATTGAAGTGAATGTGAAACTGCCTAGAAAACAGCTTCAAACACATGCAGCCCATAGCTCAATTCATCCTCACCAATACCAGCTCTTGCATAGTTGCATGCATGGCATATTCGCAATAAAATCGATGTCCATGTCATGTGTGCATCAGCAAAGTCCCCCATTCTCTATACAAAAAAAATATATACTTCATATAAAAATATATAGATTCTTCCTAGATGTCCCCCATTCATCTTATTTTTCCAAATTATCGTCATCACGTACTATATAAAATATACATATATATAAATATATATATTTATCTTTTATCGATGCATTATGCCGCTTATGAAAGCTACGAGAAATGCCCTCCCTAGTCCCTAGCTCAGTTCATGCACCAAACCACCTATATATACTCTTCCTTACTCACACTCTCTCATTACCCAATTCAAACCACCTTTCCCTCTCTCTCTATCTATATCTATATCTATATCTATCACATATGGGGTTCTCTCAATCTTACACAACAAATTCACTAGTAGTACTTGTTATTGTTCTTGTTCAACTAAGCTTTATCAATTCTTGTTTGGGAACAAGAAAGCTAAATTCACTTTACCAAACACCACCAATGTCTCTAACCTACCACAATGGAGCTTTACTTGAAGGAGACCTCCATATATCTATTCTATGGTATGGCAAATTCTCACCATCTCAGAAATCCATTGTTGTGGACTTCCTTCTCTCTCTAAACCCACATGAAAAACAACACGTTTTCACTACCAAAACACCTTTGGTCTCTCACTGGTGGCAAAAAATTGAGACCTACATGAAAAGGGCGGGAAAGAACCCGACCCGGATAGGCTTATCAAACCAGGTCATGGATGAGCAGTGTTCACTGGGCAAAAGGGTGACAAAATCGCAGGTTTCCGAGTTGGCTCACCGGGTTAACTCGGGACCCGGTGGGTTAACCCTGGTTCTCACTGCCCAAGACGTTGCGGTGGAAGCGTTTTGCATGAGCAACTGCGGGTTTCACGGGTCGGACTCTAGACAGAGATCGGTTTATATCTGGGTTGGCAACTCGGAGACTCAGTGCCCGGGTCAATGCGCGTGGCCGTTCCACCAGCCCATCTACGGACCACAGAGTGCACCACTGGGTGCGCCCAATGGGGACGTGGGGGTCGATGGCATGGTCGTAAATATCGCGAGTCTTTTGGCCGGAGCTGTAACGAACCCGTTCGGGAACGGCTACTTCCAGGGATCGGCTGGCGCACCGATGGAGGCGGCTTCGGCTTGTACCGGGGTGTACGGTAAGGGGGCTTATCCGGGTTACGCCGGAGAGTTGTTGGTGGACACGGCTACGGGTGCTAGCTATAATGCGCAGGGTGTGAATGGGAGGAAGTACCTCTTACCCGGTTTGTTTGACCCGTATACTTCGGACTGTTCAACGATTGTGTGAGGGACGTTGAGAAGGTCAGAGATGGAAATCTATGTTTGTCTATGCGCTTCAAGTATTTATGTATATTGGCTGTGTATATTTTGAGATTATAATAGATTTGTTGTTGGCATTTCCGATGGTACCAGCTACTTTAGTTGTTTTATGATATTGAAATGAAATTCTCAATTTAAGAAATACTTTGCTTGATATTTATTTTAAGATGAAAGGAATAATGATTTAAAAAATGAAAGGAGTAATGATTCAAAATCTCAAACTTTCAGGAATCTGTAATGCGAACTTTATCTAATAGTGTTTTTCTCATTTCTCTCCTCAATAGCTCTCAACTAAGACCACGGACTAATACTCTGCTTATCCAACATTAGTTTTGTTATTTTTGGAGGTATCGAATTTGCGTTTTAAATTTAGAATTGAAAAAAATTTAGTATAAATTTTGAATTAAACTTCCTTCAATTCCAAATTCAACGCACTAATTCGATATTTCCGAACATAACAAAATAATATAATTTACAAGACAAACGTGTTATTTGATAAAATTTAAAACTCAATTTAAGGTATTGAATTGAATTATCAGACATCACCTTTATCATTTTCATTCATTTAATTAATGAGTCGAATTCAAATTTAACTTATGAGCTAGTTTATTATTTATTTGCTACAAATGAAGCTTGTATTATTCATTTAACCATTCAAAAGAACAAATACAAGCCACTAAATGAGAGCCACCTTTAAGTAAGGGTGAGTTGAACTTGGTTATTAACAAGTGAACACATCATTCTTTTATAATTCTAAATAGTTTCGTGCTCATTTATCAGTTATTAATTATTTTTAATGGTTGTTATCTGGAAATGCATAAAATAATTAGTAAGTATAATAAAAAGAGTAATGGTAATAATATATAAGAGTTAAAATAATAATGTCTAACGAATTGATAGTCGAGCTCTCATATTACATATGCTCGTCCATTTAATAACACAAATTGAGCTTGAACCAAGTATTATTTGTTTTGCTGGATAATCTGACCTAAAATTTTATTTTTTTTTATTTTTTATTTTCCTGTAGTTCCGTAACTTCCTACAATTTTCTTATCAAGCCATTTATTTGAGTAAAAACATCCGTGCTCCATTTTAAGAATTGTGGATTGTTACAGGAAGTTCTGTTTGTTTCGACATAAAATATTTTTCAGATTTAGATTAAGGTTGAAGTCAAGTCAATACGGCGGAAGGATAAAATAACTTACCGAAAATTGATTGATAAATTATTTTTGTTAAATTTTAATATTTTTCTTCATAAATATTTACTACAATCAAATACAAAAAAATAAAGGGTGAACTAAATTAAACCCTCATTTTCTATCCGTGTTTTTCACTAAACCCCCTTTTTCTATTTTTTTTGTCAATAAACCCCCCTCAACTATTTGAGGGGGGCGATTTAATTAACGGAAGTTAGCTGAAAGGGAGCTGTTTGGACATTTAGCTTCTCATATATGTTTTAGACAAAGATGTCCTCATACTTATTTTAATATATCCTCACATATATATCTACTCCATTATCACTCTTAGTCGCATATCTTCCACCATTGCAACAATACGTACTCTTCCATCATTATAATATTATATATAATTTGTATCATAATATAATGGTATATATAATATGTACCATTTAATATTATTTATACTTTATTTTCATTTCCATCCAACCTTCAGACCAATATAAATCTAGGTTTTTTTCTTAAAATTTATCTGCTATATATATATATATATATATTTGAGAGTTATATTGTGCATTCATTTATTTGGTTTTTATTGATTTTCATTTTATATGGATTTATTAAAGGGACACTAAGAGAAATAATGCCTATTTTTTTTTTCTTTTTTATATTAATATTTATGTTTACGTGTTTTCTTCTTCTTCTTTTTTTTTTTTTTTTTTTTCAATATCATTTTTTTCTATAAAAAAAAATAAAAAATTCCTTCCATGTGACTAATGTGAACTTGTCAGTCTAGTAGTTTTCTTTCAACTAACTTTCGTTAGTTAAATCACCCTCTTGAATAGTTGAGGGGGATTCTTTGACAAAAAAAAAAAAAAAATAGAGATTTAATGAAAAACACAAATTGAAAAAGGGAGTTTAATGTAATTCACCCAAAAATAAAAAATATTAACAAACGGAGTCAAGTTTTGAGTTCAGTATAACATTCTTGCTCTTGGGTCATTGAAGTGCTTCAATTAGAGGTCTTGGATTGTAAGCCCAAGCCTTTTTGGCCCACATCTTGGCCCAAAGTGGCAATGATCCAAGAGGCCTAGATTTTTAGTCCAATCATCTTTGTGTGCAAATGTTTTATATCCAATATTTGACTACAGTGCAAAGTCAAAATAAAATCAAGGAACTCGTGGATTAATCCATAGAGTTTTGTCAAATATCAAAATGGGGTCATTACTGGTGTAACCTTACCACATTATCAAAAGGACTTGAATATGTGAAAAATGTGTAAAATTGAAATAGAGAAAAGTGTAGTTTCAAAAGAGTAATTGGAATTTTAAATATTTAGTTTCGTATGATCTTTATTAATGAAATTTTCAATATAAAATTTTAAGAGCCTAGGTGTCTCAAATCGAATCTGAATAGGAAATGGAATGAATATAAATGGGTTGGGTCATGATGTTAGCACAATCTAATGGCTTAAGTTTTTGGGTTGAACCGTGAATCACCTGACCCGTTACAGTTAGTATCAATTCAGACCCAATTCTTGATTTGACATCACACAAAGCATCTAGTTCGGGGGTGTGACACCCCTGGTAGACAAGATAACTTGACCGCATCTGCATATAAGACAACATAATGATCCAAATCATTATATTTTTGAATTATTGAAACTCAGAATTCTCTCCGATAAAGAAATTCTCAAATTTTCCTTCTTTGTGGTGTGTGTTGGACTATTTTTAAGTTCTTGAATCATTTATTTATTTAAGAAAAAAAGAATCATTTATTTGTTTATTTTTGGTTAACAATAGAATCAATATATATATATATTATTTGGGAACTAAAAAAACACCATATATGCACAAGTACTATTTGATTCAAGCATTTGAGAGCTTCCAAACTTCAATATTTTATTTATATTCATAAGTAAAGAATCAACTTGCTCGTCAGCCACGTTAAACTCTGGAATGATTTATAAACTTCAAATACATGAAATTGCTCTCACAAATTACATGAGGAATTTAGATTTGGTACCCTTGAATCCGAACCTTTTTGACATTGTGGAAGAGCATGAATGAAATTTTACTGAAAAACAGATGCATAAATGAACCACACAGTGTGAATTCTTGAACTCGTATCTCTCTTGTGCGGAGAGGATTCTATGCTGATCTTGTGCAACTTGTGTTGGATTCCGCGTTGCAAGAATTGGACTGCCACTGTACACCTGTTTTCGTGCACAAGATCTTCTTACACGGAAGGAGATCCTAATTCTTGGACTTATTCTGTCTGAATTATGTTTATCCCAGATTCAATTATGGGTCGTCCAAAAGTCGCGTTGGAATGTTTAACCCATTTTGCATTAAATTGCTGCACAGGGTATTGTTTCCAGTAAATCGTTGACAGACGAGTAATAGAATCTCTCTTAAGCAGAAAGACGACAGAATAGTAACTTACTGTTCACTATATAATAGGATAATATTTATACTATGCAGACCTTAAAGTATTAACAATAATTAACAGACATGTTACAACCATCTTCCTCTTCAAGAATACAGGACAACCAGGATTCAGAACTGGTAAAAAATACTGAAGTAGTGGAATGGACCAATGTTCAAAATCAATTGAACAAATGGACTATCCCTCCAGTAAGTGCCAAAAGCATTTACAAAATCGGAATGCTTAATTTAGCTGATCTATGGACTATCAAGACCATGGAACAGACCATGCAATTAAGCACTAAGGATACAATAATTAAGTTATTGTCTTCCCGTGACCTTCAGAGGCACATGCATAAATACAAGTACATCCATATAGGTTTAATTCAAATTGCTTTTAAACCTTTGACCTTGTTAGGTATGGATGCTTGTATTCAAGCAACCCTAAGGGATGCTAGGTGTCTGAAATTCCACCCTTCCTTGATGGGTGCCCTGGAAACCAGTCTATGTCATGGACCGGTTTACTTTGATGTATATCCTAGTCTGAATTTATCGTTAACCGATAAAAATATCCATGAGGCAGTTAGTCTTAGGATACAGACTTATGGATATGATTACTTACCTGGATCGGAAGTGATAAGTGTTATTTATCGCATCCATTACAAAGTACTGGATACTATGTGTCCCAAGGCCATACGCAAAGACTCTAAAGGAGTAACAGCGTTATGGAATACTAACATGTACACCTCCAATGTTGCCACAAAAAGGATGATTCCTTGGAGTGAAATAACATTTCCTGAACACTGGACGATTTCTAATGCCGTCCCAGCACAGCCAATTGCTAATCATAGCTTAGACTGTGTTATTCAGGACCAGGATGGTGATGTTTTTCTGAATTTCAGAAAATCTATAGATCTATCCAGATCTGCATCGTCGAAAGGAAGTCAGCTTCCTTACCGCGTTTCCTGTCCTCCTTCTTGACATTCGATCTCGTCAGATTACCGTAAGGAAGGACTCCCTGAAGCAGTTGATTCCAAGCTCAAGCTGAAAGGAATACAACAATCTCCGAATCAAATTCCAAGAGGAGTTTACGAGAAAGCCCCAATAGGTATGTCTCGTCGCCAATTTGGAATTGAATTCAGCCCAACTCCATCTGAAATGGGAATCGGGAACGAATCTGTTAAGGATCAATTTGAAGATCCAACAGACATCAATGATCCTCATGAATATTAATTTTAATGGATTTTGTCCATTTTTGGTAAGTAACTTGATTCAAGAGTTGAAGATAATTCGTACCTTCTTCTGATTGAGGAGCTTCCTCCTTAGATGAGGAAGATGGAATTGCAGATGTTGCTTTTAAAAGAGTA